AGGGAGGGCGAGGGGAAGGACTGCCTGGCCTCTGTGAAGCTCCTTGCCACATCAGGGTGTTTGCTGGCCGAGCCCTCCCAAGATTTGTTGCTGCTTTCCCCACTGACTTCCCCTGGGACAGGGGTTTGGACAGAACTGAGCTCCTGGTCCCCTGGACCTGTGACTCCTCCCCATGCCCATCACCTCCCCCTCGCACCCAGCGCCTCTCCCCAAACCCCCCACGTCTCCCCTGTTCAGGATCCTGTTCCCCTGCCTCTTATTTCTCCCCGCACCATTACCTCTTCCCCATGACTGTGGGACCGGAGGGACCAGGTCCCCTCTGGGGACATGCCCTGCACACGTAGGCAGCCCATGGAGGTGCACGCCAGGCTTGGAGCAGCGGGGCTACCCCAGACCAAGGGCTCTGTCCCTCCCCTGCGTGGGGCAGTGGCAGAGGCCGGGACGCCTCACCCCCCTGCGGCCAGCAAACACCAGCTTGCCCCTAGCTGGGACCCCATGGCCGTCTCCGTCTGGCACCGTGCCCATTCTTCCCCAAGCCAGAACGGCCTCTGGGCTGACGTCCCAAAGCACCGAGGGGGACGTGGGCCTCCTGCTGCGTCACTGGGAGCCGGGAGAGCTGACGCCACTGGAGCCAGAGCAGGGAAACTGAGCCCCGGAGCTCAGAGGCTGCCCTTCCAGGTGAGCCTGTGACCACAGCTTCACAGGACGTTCGCTGTCGTGGGTTTCGGCGGTGGGATGCTCCTGCTCCACTCAAAATCACACGGTACCCATCTGGCCCCTGGTGCTCACTCACCACAGCTGGGCTGGCAGGGACTGCTCTTGTCCCACACCCCCCAGGCTGCGGCAGGAGGAGCCTCTGCCCCCAAACCACTTGGCTCAGCCCTTGATCCCTCCTGTGCTGCAGCCGTTCCTCCGTTGTGTGTGACAGCGCTGATCAGCAAAGGCCACGGAAATCGGAGGCAGAGCAGCAGCCTGGAGCTTGTGCTGGAAGGGGCTGCCCAGGGAAGGGGTCGAGTCCCCACCCCGGGGGGGATTTAACAGCCGGGCAGAGGCGGTGCTGAGGGCCAGGGTTTGGGGGTGGGATGGCAGGGGTAGGGGAGCGGTTGGGCTGGGGGAACTCAAAGAGCTTTTCCAACCCAAACGATTCCGTGATTCCATGACAAGCCCCAGCGTCCTAGGGCCCCGCAGGGCTGGCAGCTCTGGCTGCTCCCCCTGCCCACCCTGCTCCCCCCACAGCCAGGTGCTGCGCTTTGACTCTCAATGATGCTGTGATTTCTGAGCACCGTTTGGATGTTTCCAAGCGGGGTTTCAGCTCTCGCTGTGTTCAGCAGAAGCAGCCAGGGGCGATGCCCGAGGTCTCTCCTGGGCGCAGAGGGGCAGGAGCCTCGGGTCGCTGGCCTGATGCTGGTGGAGCCCACCTACTGCAGAGGAGGAACGGCTCAGCCTGGGCTCAGCGGCAGGCTCAGGATCACGCAAGATTCCTGTGGGCTGCCAAGAGCTTCAGGGTTTCTGGCACCACGGACATAAGGGAATATGCAAAAGATCAGGGGACCAACCCCAGGGTTTGTGGCTGCTCTGGCCTCAGCCCACCATCCCATACCTATGAGAGCCAAGTGTTCTCCTTAGCGGAGGACAAACCCCAAAAGAGCTGAACTGTGCCCAGTTTGCCCAGGGGCCCAGGGCTGTGCCCAGCAGTGGGGATGCCAGCAGAGCCAGGGCGCGGGCAGCTTGGCCGGCCAAGCACTGCCAGCAGTTTAATTAAGTCTGGTGAACTGAAGGACGGGTAACACGAATTTGCTCCTCAGTGACCTCCCAGTGCTAATCCCAGCTCCCTCTACAAAGGCCAGGCAGGAGAGGTGGTGGCATCGGTCCCCGGTGATGCCACCGCACCTCGGCGAGGCTCAGGGGAACGATGCTGCCTGGCGATGGAGCTGGGCGAGGGAGGAGCAGAGGCAAGGCAGGGCTGGGGGCAGGAGCGCAGAGGAGGAGGAGGAGGAGGAGGAGGCCTTTCCTCAGTGCCCATGCCAGCTCAGGGAGGGAGCCCTCGATCCGAGCCCTCAGACGCAGCCCCGGGCTGGGTGCTGGCACCCGGCCCCCTCCCGGCCCCCGCGCAGGGCAGCCGGGGGTTTTCCGCACGGAGAGGAGATATTTTTAGTTGCATTGCCCGGCCGTTGCACAGCGGATGGGTGTGTCCTGGAGCTGCAGACAACAGAGTTCACTGGGGCAGGGCAAGGTGACACTTCGGTGGCACGGGAGGGACCTGGGGCAGGCTCTGCTGCCCAGGGGATCGCTGCCCAAGCAGCCGCTCTGAGATGCTCCTCTTCCTTCCCCCTCTCTGCCCAGGAGCTCCCAGCCCGCTTGGGTCCCTGGCTGTCCCCAAACAGGGGGCCAGGCAACAGCCCTGGAGATTATTTGGGAGCTGCGCCCCGCACTCCTCCAGCCCGGATTCACAGACGGCTGGGGCTGTTTCTCGGGAGATGAGCGTGCCTGGGTTCTGCAGGCGCCTCCTTGGAGGTGCTTGGTCAGAGCCAGAGCTTTCCTGTGCCCCAAGGGAGGTTTCTTCTTAAATCCCCTCTTCCAGGTATTGCATTCAACCCTCCCAGTTTGGGCAAGTCTGCATAAAAATCCCCCCCCAAGGGGGCCTGCGGGGACAGCGCCCTCAGGGACAAGTTCAAAATCATCTGCTAGAAAAGGGGGAACAGTCAGACGTGTTTCTAAGCCTGCATTGCGCCGCACCAAAGGGTTTCCCCATTTGGGGGCTTTTTTGCGCTGTTTTAAGCTGATAGTGGGGGTACCAGCACCAGGCCAGCAGGACGTGTGAGTGGGCAGCGTCCATG